GGAAGTAAGGAAGAATAAGCAAAATGCCATAAATGTTAATTACATTTTCGGAACTTTACAGGACAAGTTTTTTTGTCCTTAATAATAAGTATTAAAAATAAAAAGGAAAATATAATACAAAAACTGAAAGATGTAATTGTAATCGCATGCGAAGATAATTTTATAATAAAAGTAACTCATAAATCAAAATTTTAATTTACTTCGTATTTATAACGAAATTATACAGTCGGATGAAAAACCTTTGGATGAAATTATTATACAACCGACTTCGACTTTATAAATATTTTATAGAATTTATAAAGTGAAGATGGAAATATGTTTATCATATATATTATATTATAGCATCTTACAAATATTTACGAATCCATGACCTGAAGCTTTGATAAACTTTTAGGCTGAATAAAATTTCCTGATTAAAAGTTTAGCCAATCTCATACTCACTATATTGAGGAAGGTGTCAACCTGTGAGCCCCAGCAACCTATTGCATTCCATAAGAGCATAGCATATAGTACACTACCATGAGTAATAAATTATATTATATGTAAAACTAACCAGTTTGATTCATACTCATTATATTGAAGAAGTTATGCAGATGTAATTTTAAGAAATATATTGTTTCATCAAGACGATAGTGCTAACCACAATAACAAGAATAATAAATTTTATTCTTGAAAACGGTGCATAATTCAAAAATTAAATATTAATTTAACTATAATATTGTGGCAATATATTAAAATGCCTACGAATTATAAATATATATTCATATGGCACAAACGATTCTACATGCTTGTATGCATCAATAGGCATAACGAAGTGATTGACAAGGTTATATACCTTCACTCATTGCCATTGTCTATATTGCCATTGATATTTTTGTATTAGAAGAAATTACCTTAACATAGAATAAGACATTATACCATCCTTACAAGTTTAGCGATTTGAATTGTGTAGATAGCATCAGTGTGAGGACTCATATTTTCAATCAGACTCAGTTTTTTTTATAGAAACTTAAAATGTAGCAACTCAAGTTGGCAGCTCATTAAGCTTGAGGTTGCCTGCCAAGTCATCACCAACCTTATGGTGTCCCAAGACACTCATCCTCCAGCTTACCAGTGCTGGACATTGGCATAATATATGTACCACTGTCTCCTATTCTTCTAGACATAGACTGCAAGTGTCTTCCCCAGCAAGAGTTATCTTTTTGAGGTGATACTTGAAGTTATCATGTCCAGCAATCAATCAATTTATTTATTAAATTATATTTTATTGGAACATAAAAAAATCTACAACTCACTGCGTAAAGTCACTGTATAATGAGGACAATATATGGCTTAATTATATCAGTAAATGATGTTGAGAATTTTGAGCTGAATGAGGATTACTTCAGTTAGCCCCTAAAGTAATAATTAAGGGATCATAATACGTGTGTAAACACTATGAATACAAAACAATGTTGATTGCTGTAGGAGTGTGCATATGGTATATGTATTGTGTAAATCCACATTGGTGTTGAAATAAAACATTGCATACCTCCAGGCACCAATGTTTTTTGTTTGAGTTTTTGTCGTGTTTTTCATTTTGTTCAAAATGAAAACTCCTAAGGATTCGCGAATATTTTTAAATAATTACTGATATACGCTATTATTTTTATTCTTATTCGTAATATTTTTATATTATATTTATATTTATTATCATTTTTTTTTATAAGTTATTTATTTTAATAATTTTAATGCTCGTATAGTAATTTAATATTTGAAGGGTAGCAGGTGTGCCATTTTAATTATATTGTATTTGATGTTTTAATAAATATCGTTAATAACGTAAATAACGGTTTTAAATCAATGTGCATTAAACGCAATAGCTTTAAGTGTATTATTTTTAAAAAAAGAGTTAAATTTTCAATTTAGTTGCTTTTATTTATATCCATCAAATTTAAAACATGTTCGGAGAAATGAAAGGTGGCAATGATTGATGTGATTAAAGTACTCAAGGTCTCTTTACCCTCATTTAGTGACAAAGTAAGAGGTTATAAAGGTGATAGATTGCATTTAGGTCAAGACTTTAGGTGTAGACTGCTACTACAATTTTTCGTAATTTCTACTGGAGTATAGGATCCTGGTAAAAGATTTACAATATTCAGTTAATATTTTAAATCTATTAAATATACATGAGATAAATTTAATGAATATCAATACATTCTATTAAAATAAACAATAATTGTGCTATAAATTTTTTCAGTATTGTGTATTTTAAAAATAGATTTCAACAATATTTTCGCCGAAAAAGATAATGGTTCAACTGAAAACTATTGTCACTTCGTTATCGCTTATAACTCATCTTTTAATGACATATACATATATATAATGTATGATCATTTGAACTATTTTCATTTTCAGCATAAATGATTATACAATCTTATTTAATAAAAGAAATAACAGTTGTAAAATGCTTTTAAGTAGCATATATAAACCACTTTTTGGATATTTTTTAAATAATGTACTTAAACACAAGATGCTTTCTACGGTAAATGGAATAATAACAAGTTTTCTTGACAAAACCGATTCATTTTCTTCAAAATAATCTCTGTCTGTCTACTCGAAAAAAATGTAGTGTGATTATATTTGATTGTCAGTTGTAATGTTTTTCAGGATGTTAGGTATAAGGTTTTTGTATGGCTTCCACATCCACAAAACATTTACAAACGTCCATAAGACGTGTAAAATGTCTGAAATAATCTTACTTTTCACTATATTTTCCTATATTGATAAGAAGACGAGATTGACACAATCTTTTACGAAGAAACTTTGCTTATCGTTAAATTTCGGAGTGGAAACCTAAAAACTTGAAAATTAATAGCAATTGGACTTATAAAAATTATTGTGGATCCCAATGACGATATGTAACTCATGTAGAAGGAAAAAGCTGACACAAACAAATTACTAAAAAGCTTGGAAGGGCTAAGTTTGATTTTTCTTCTACTCTAAATTTGGTGAAGAAATTACTGTGAAAATAAACCTTATTATAAAACCTGTCTAGATTAAAAGATTCCATGAAAATAATATAATCGGTGATTAAAAGTGTAGAAATTAACGACAAATAGGGCTATAATTGAATTTAAGGAATTCCCAGCGACAGTGGTAAGTCTTGTGAAAGGATAAACCGATATAAAGGATGTCGATATAAATATATTTATTTTTCTTGTTCTACAAAAATAAAGATTAAGCTGAAATTAAAAGTGTAAAAAAAGTGTAAATTACGGAAATTTTTATCAATTCAATGAACTTTTTATCAATGCACCGTCATGAGGTCTCTTGTGCGGCATATTAGCATTTAAACATCAAACTTTAAACAAGCCAAGTTTCGTTTTCATATTTTAGGTTATGAACAACTGTTTCAAGTAATAATAAAATTATTAATTTTTTTATTTAATATTAATATTATTCAAAACCTTTTCTTTGAAGTGAAGAAATGAATAAAAAGTTATTAAAACATGAAAACTTCGGCACGATAGAACTTTTAGATCGCAGTGCATGATACCTTCTTTTCAATAATAATAATGAAAACTTTGGAAATAGTACTTAGAATTGATTCTTGGATCCACCCGCGGTTACACTCTTCACTATTAATTTATTATTATTGGACAATAAAGCAAAAGGTCTGTCAAGATTTTGAAAATTTTTACCCGCTTAGTAGAAACCCGTTTACTTAAAACAGTATTTCATTATCTATAACTGTTTATATGTGTTCCATATATTGTTATAATAAATTAAAGATAAAACGTGTTTAAATTAGCTTAAATTTAAAATTCAAATTGTATTTTTACAGTAAAACTGTCAATTCAACATTCTTTCGAACTACTCAGAGTAGTGACGTAGCAGTCTCTGATAACAGCAAATACGAGAACATGCGGGCAAGACTGGAAGACTGAAGTGTAAAGCTCAGTTCTTATCGAAACAAAAAAATATATGGTAAGACTGGAGATATATAATGCAATCCATAGGTTAAAAACCTCACTGAAGAGCTTTGTAAAAAATTGCTTCTCTCGAAGTTAATCAGAGTTTGATTAGTCAATTGAAGGGAGAAGAAACTAAGTGATAGAAAGATAACTCTTTAAATTTTATTTGCTTGTCTGACTTTTTAGTCGTACGAACGCTAAATAGCGAACACAAAACAGAAATTAATTGATTAAAAAACATTACATTTTAGTAAAATAAAAATTATTTATGTTTTTGTTGTTGCTTGATCAGCTGTTAAGTTTTGTAATACTTTAATTTACTGAGGTGTTTACGTTGCTTGGCGTTCAGTACCGCTTTGACTGCCGACTTCGTAAACAAATGTTTTGCGCGGATTAATTCCGATTTACTTAAAAAAAAGCTTAAAACGTGTTTAAAGTGACGTTTTTAATGTTGGTTTTTTTAAATAAGATTTATGTGGGATTTTTTATAAAAAATAACTTTTACCAGTAAAAATGGCTTACGAAATTAAATTTCATTAATTTAGTATAATTTTTAAGTTCAAGTAAAAAATGTGATATTGATACGCACAAAATATGAATGAATCGTTTAAGGAAATAATATTCGTAAAAGTCTGAATTTAAATCAAATGATATATATATATATATATATAAATATATATAGCATCTATCACCTAACATAAAAAAGTTCAAATAGTTTAAAAGTGTACAAAAAATTAATATATTATAATAGTAAGTTTTTTATATGTTAACATTTATTAAATTCAGTACATATAATTGTTCAAAATAATTTGATAATATTATTAAATAATATATCACAACTTTAAAACTTAGAACAAAAATTTTTTTGTCTGTAAATATGATACATAAAATTGTTTGCGGGCTGCCTGTT